TTAGCATATACAATCTTTATTTTCAAAATTATTTTTTATTAATTTCATTCAATATTTCTCAATTACATGTAAAAATTTGTAACAATAATTTAAAAAAAAATTGAGTTCCAAATTCTCCTTCTCCCTCCTGCCGCTTCCCCCTCCTTGAGAAGGCAAACAATTTAATATAAATTATACATGTGAAGCCATGCAAAACATATTTCCATATTAGTTATGTTGCAAAGAAAGCAAACAAAATAAAACAATAAAAATCAAGAAAGTTAAAAAAAATGCTTCAATCCACATTCAAATTGGGCATAGTTCCAAACTGTTCTCCAGAATTGTTGGACTGGTTCACAACTCAACCAATAGTTCATAGCTGTCCCAATTTTTCCATATCCCTTCTAGCATTTGTCATTTTTCTTTAATATCACGTTACTCAATCTGACAGGTGTGAGGTGGTATCTCAGAGTTGTTTTAATTGGCATTCCTCTAATCAGTAGTGATTTAGAGCATTTTTCATGTAACTATTAATAGTTTTAATTTCTTTTTCTAAAAACTGCTTGTTCATATCCTTTTATCATTTATCAGTTAGGGAATGACTTGTATTTTCTTATAAATTTAGATCAATTTCCGACATATCTGAGAAATGAGGCCTTTATCGGAGAAACTTGCTGCAAATTCCCCCTCCCCCCCAGTTCCAAGAGCAATGAATATTTCTCCAGTTATTTAGATCTGTTTTAATTTGTGTGAAAAGTGCTTTGTAATTGTGTTCACATAATCTCTAGGTTTGTCCTGACAGGTAGACTCCCAAGTATTTTATATTGTCTGTATGGAGGGATTTGAATGTCAGTGTAGGATTTAGTATTTTACCCTACAGTCAAAATGGAGTGGGTCAAGTAGATGGCACAGTGGATACAGTGACAGGCCTGAAGTCATGAAGATTCATCTTCCTGAGTTTAAATCTAGCCTCGGACATTAGCTCTGTGATCCTGTTTGCCTCAGTTCCTCATTTGTAAAAATAAGCTGGAGAAGGGGTGGGCAAATCACACTAGTGTATTTGCCAAGAAAACCCCAAATAAGGTCATGAAGAGTCAGACTCTACTGAAATGACTCCACAACAACAACAACATGGAATTTCTGAAGCTTCTTTAATAAGCAAATGGCTCAAAGAGGCCCAAACTACTAGCTAAGATTAGGGTTGGGTTTTTTTTTTTTTTTTTTTGTCAAATGTTCATAAGAGACAATGGGCAACAAACTTTCTAGAAGACGTATTTTGCTGAAATTAAATGTGGTTTCTCATCCACAGAGGCAGAGTTGTGGGAAGGTGAAGGGTTTCCTATGGCTTGTTGTGACTCAAGTCCTGTTTTATACTTTTAATTGTAGACCTTGACATACTCGTGTATTTTTAAATGACTAATTATGACTCAGTTCCCTTAATCCACTTTAGGAGAGATTTGTATAAGCATGGCTCCTTGAAATTCCATTTGGTATAGCCTGCTTAGTCTGTGTAGGAGATCAAGTTGATTCTTAAATCTGATTACCATGTGAACTGATGGGTACATGGATTATTGCCTTATATCAACAATTCAGACAAACAGAAGAACATTGTGAAGATTTGGAAGAGAAGAAAAAATCATTTCCAATTTATTCTTCATAGTCTTTTTCTAAAAATCCATATATTTTTTCAAACACACACAAATACAGAATAAGCTGTTTCAGCTCCCACAGAATTCAAGGATTGCCAACATAATAGAGTTCAGTCTTTGGAAAGGTTTAAATATGATGAATTATTTAGGCACTGGGGTTGCCAAGAGCTGGAAGATTGACAGGAGAGGAGAAACAATTCTTTCTGGTCATAGAGTAACTTTTCCCCCATACCCCCAGCCCACTTGACATCTGTTCCTTTGCATACTGAGGCAGAGAATCACAACAGCAACTGTGTTCTATGTCAGTACCTCAGGTGTCCTAGCTCCTCTGCATAGCAGCTCAATAAGGACCTGCAAGTCACTGCATAGGATTGACAACATAAGAGTATGTCCAGGGGCCCCTGAGGGAAAATGTAAAAATGATGAAGAGACGCATTCCTTCCTGGACTTTGTGACCATTCCTTTCCCATCCCAAAATTGTTTTTGTCCTGTGAGGTTATTGAAAAATATCTATATTTAATGGCCACTCGTGGGGAATTTCATTTATGTCTGTAAGTAGCCAAGTATTATCCTCCTAATTAGAGTTGACTTTGTTTCCTAAGATATTTTCATCCTGTTATCTGCTTGCTTTCATGTTCTTGTTACTCAGTAGTGTCCAACATTTCATGACCTATTTGGGTTTTTCTTAGCAAAGATGCTAGAGTGGTTTGCCATTTCCTTCTCCGACTCATTTTACAGATGAGGAAACTAAGGCAAACAGTGTTAAGTGACTTGCCCAGGGTTACACAACTAATAAGTTTCTGAGGCCACATTTGAATTCAGGAAGATGAGTCTTTGTGACTGGCATTCTATCCTGTGTACCACCTAGTTGTGCAATCAATACCATTATTTCTGATTCTGATGGTCGTACTGTAAATCTGTATATCTGGCAAGTCAAACTAGGTTATCACAAGCCTACGAGAAAGAAGAGTTACATCCTCAAGTCAATTAGATGAAGCAATGCTTTTCATCATCATTGAAAGAATGAGAAAAAATCATTCACTGAGTGCTTTCCATGTGCAAAACATAGTATTAAACATTGGTGATAGAAATAAAAAAGGTGTACAGTCCCTGCTTCCAAGGAACTCATTCTAATTGAGAGAAACCACACATATCCAAAGATTCAGTTTCAGAGTGAATGGAAAGTCCCAGGAGTCCTGAGAGTTCAACATCTGGGCATCATTGTCATCATCATCAGCAACAGAAATAATAATAACAGTAAGTGCAAAAACTCTTCATCTTCCTCCTCCTCACATTTCCATCAGTTTACAAAGCATTTTCTTTGGGTGTGATAGTGCCTTTACCCTTTCTCAAGTCAGGCTTCATTTAGAACATCGTGTTCATTTCTAGGTATCGCAGTTTTGAAAGGGTGTTATAATAAGTGTATTGCATAGCCTCCAGAGGATGGCCACCAGGAGAGCAGAGGGACTCCACGTGAGGATCACGAAAGGCACTGAGGGTGTTTGTCTGGTGAGGAGAAGATTGAGTGGGATGATATTGTAGTTGCCTTCAAGTATTTGAAAGGCTGTGAAGTGGAAGAAGGATTAAATTAATGAGTTTAATTCAAGAAGAGAGAACTAGAAAAACAGGTGGAAGTTGCCAGGAGATGAATCTATTGTCAGGAAAGAAATATTTTTTTTTTTTCCTAACGTTGGGAGCAACCCAAAGTGGAATGAGCTGCCTTGGACAGCAATGGGGAGTAATTCACTTGGGGCCTATACGTGAAGGGCAGATGAGCACTCGAGGGGGAGGATTTTATAGAGGAAGTCCCCTTCCAAACATGAGTTAGACTAGATGACTACTTTAGTCTCTTTCACCTGTGGAATTCAATGAGTCTATAAAGTGGGTGGTGGAAGGATCATTATACTTATCATGCAGATGAGGAAACTGAGGCCCAGAAAGGCAAAACAACTTGATCGGTACAACACAAGTAACATGGGTCAGGCTATAAATTTAAACTAAGAATTGGCACAGTGGAGAGAAAGCTGGACCTGGAGGTAGGAAGAACTGAGTCCAAATCTGGCTTCAGATACCCACTAGTTGCATGATCCTGGGCAAATATATTAATCACTGTCTAAGTTTTCTCATCTGTAAAATGAGTATATTGATAGTATCTACTTCCCAGGGTTGTTGTCAGGATCAAATGAATTAATATTTGTAAAGTACTTAGCACAGTGCCTCGCACATTATAGGTGTTTAACAGTTTTTTTTTCTTCCTTTCTTCCTTGCTTGCTTGCTTCCTTCATTCTTCCCTTCCTTCCTTATCCTCCTTCATTCCTTCATTCATTCATTCATTCATTCATTCATTCTTTCCTTTCTTCCTTCTTCCCTTCTTTCCCTTCCTCCTTCCTTCCTTCCTCTCTTTTTTCCTTCCTTCTTTCCTTTTTTCCTTCCTTCCTTCCTTCCTTCTTCCCTCCCTCCCTCCCTCCTTTCTATTATCCCACACCTTAGGACGACAACACTGAAGTAGTCATCGGGACTTGTCTGGTGGATTTCTTTGTGGGTAGTGACTGGAATTTGACCAACACTGTTAGGAGGTGTTGGTTAGCCCTCCTCTTCACTCAGATTGCTTGAAGTGGTTTTGGGAGTGGGCATGCCAGGTCTATCTCTGTTCTGATAGAGAATGGGCTCTGCCTGCATTTTGAGTGCTCAGCTGATCACTGTTTTTATTACCGTTTTGTATTCATAAACTGTTTTCCCTCTAGGAAGCTTGGTGACAAGTAATGTATTTCTTTTCACTTTCAGGCTGCTCTGCAGACAGCCGGTGAGGCTGTTGCCAATTAGTGTCTGCAGGGTTGGCAGTGGGGGTGAGAGGCAGCCAAGCCCACGTGCCTTTTCCTCAGGCTTCTGGAGGCCTGTTTGGGTGGTGGTGACTCAGCTGCCACCACTGAACCCTGCTTTGTACATGTGGGTGTGTTGAATTCTTATTTTCCATATGTGATACTATGGGGCAATCCAAAGACAGCTGTATTTGGAGCCAGAGGACCTGGGTTCAAATTTGAATTTTGCTGCCTGTGTGATCTTAGCCAAATCACTTAACCTCTCTGAGGCTCAGTTTTCATCTCCAAAATGGTTAAATTGGACTAGATGGCCTTGGAGATCAATCCCTTTCACCTTCTGATTTATTTTCATATGACTCAATAATTCTTAGGGTCCCATTCAGCTTTAAATTTAGGATCCTGAAGTGTTAGAATCCATTGACCAACAAGCATGTATATAAGACATAGCTGGAGATGATGTCTATGTCTTAAATCATCAAGTCCTTCTCACAGTCTCTCTCTAGAAGTATATCATTGCAAAGGATTCTATTATTTTTTTTTTAAATCTTTGCAGGTGTCTAACCTCTACCTGTACGACAGTGTGTTGATGCTGGCAAATGCCTTCCACCGAAAGCTGGAAGATAGGAAGTGGCATAGCATGGCAAGCCTGAACTGTATGCGGAAGTCTACCAAACCTTGGAATGGGGGCCGATCCATGCTAGACACTATCAAGAAGGTACTGATTGGGAAACTCCTATCTCAAAAAAAAAAATGACTGGGCACCATTTCTTCAGTGGTTTGGGATGTGAATGTTCATTTTCTTTTCTATTCTAAGATTAATCCTTCTGGATAGAGCAAGTCCTAGACTAGGTGGCCACTTTTATAGCCTAGTGGTTGAGTTGAGTGCCATGTAACAAATTCCCTAGTTTCCTATTAGCCTCTAACTCAATATTGATTTTAATCTGGATAAAAGTTGATGCCATCATGGAAACTATTCTTGGAACTTGGCACTGTGTTGTGTTAATAAGATGGGAATGTGTATCTAGGGTGGGGCAACTCAGGCTGTTCTACATTCATGATGGTTTCCTGTGCTGAGATATCTTATGAATTTCTGATGGAAGGAAACTTAGCAAGTTAGATTATAAGTAAATCGGAGAATCCACCGAAGACTTGTTAAAGTGAATTGGGCTTTAGAAATTGTGAAAGAGCATTTAGGGAAATCTACAGTGTTTGGAGTTTTGTCCTCAATAAATTGCTCAGGGTTTCAATAACAGTGAAAATGTATTGGTGTCGGTTTGAATCAACTAGAGTCATGATGAAGAGCTGGAAATCCTTGCTGGGGGAAATTTATTCAAGGAGAGAAAGTGATAGCATAAGAGTATTGGAGTGTGGTTTCCATGCCTTTTTATGTTTTCCTTTGGGGTTAGGAAATACCCTTACTCTAGCTTCTTGGATATATGGGAAAATGCTTACTATGTGTAAGGCACTGGAGATACAAATAGAAAAGGTAGACAGCCCCTGCTCTCAAGGAGTTCATACTCTAATGTGAGAGATAGCATATGTGGAAGGTTTCTGCTGCAAATTAAGCGGAAAAGTCTCAAGGTACAGTGGCAAAGCATAAGGTAATACTTATTCAAAATCCTTCATTATTATCCAAGTCTTCTCAAGCTATTTTCCCTTCATGTCTCTATAAGGTCCTTAGCATCCCTTGTGGGAGAAATACTCCTGTCTATTTCCTTTTACCCTCTCCCAGACGTTCATCTTAATCTGACAGAGAAATGATGTTTTCTACTCTCTTTGGCAGGGCCACATCACTGGCCTCACAGGGGTGATGGAGTTCCGAGAAGACAGCTCCAATCCCTACGTCCAGTTTGAAATTCTCGGCACCACTTACAGCGAGACCTTTGGCAAAGACATGCGCAAGGTAGGCCCCCTAAAATGCCATTATTCATTGCTTAAAGTATCACATCCTAGTCCAAAGGGATGACAACAGAAGGAAGGAAATAGGGACCAGAGTCTTTTTTTTTTCTTTCCTGCTGTGCAAGGTTTAATTAGTGTGGAAAGAATGTCTTAGCATTTCTCTCACAATGAAGCCTTCACAGTGTATGCTAGATGGTAACTGCAATGCCTAGGGATAGTAAGCAAGCAAGAAGTACTTTGTAATGCAGCCTCTCTGCATGCATCAGTCAAATAGGGTTTGGGACAGAGGCTGTGTCTGTTGCTGTTCAAGAGACATAACTGATTTGGTTAAAGAAACTTGTTCTAATCAGTAAACGATTTAGAGAATAAATGACCTCATCAAGTCTTACACACATACGCATATTCTTCCCCACAGACACATGTACATGCGCACATGTGCATACACACACACGCACACACCCCTCCATAATTGCTCAGATGAAGGCACCCTCTTTCACATGCATTTTACCTGCACACACATGTTCACACTGGCTGGCACACATCTGTATAAGGAATGCAATTCCAAAGGCTGGCGCCATCTGTTGGTGAGCCCTTGGCATTGCCCTCTTTCCTGGAATATCAGGGAGAATAGCTCTATCCATACATAGAGCTCCAACCTTGTACTTCAAAAGAAGGGGGTTTAAAAGGAGCATCAAGTCTGTCAAATTGTCAGTCTGATCCCTATCTGACCCGACTGTGAATTCACTGGGGCAGGACACTCTCAGATGAGGAAAACTCCTGCCAGTATGGCTTGGTATCCTTTCTTCAACTTGGAGAATTGCCTATAGCACTGGTTAGGCAACTGGCTCAAGGTTATTTAGAGAGTATTTTCCAGAGGCAGTATTTGAACCCAAGTCTTCCTGCCTTTAAAATTCAACTCTGTCATCTACATCCTGCTGCCTCTTTCACTGGGGAGAAGAAATTTAAAAAGAGGGAAGAAAGAGAAGAAAAGAGATGCTCAGAAGAGAAAGCAAAAGATTCTGAGATAATCACTGATATAACCAACCTCCGATGTAATAGAACAGGCATTTAAGTGACCACTGTGTGTCAGAGGTGGTGTTAAGTCCTCGGTGTAAAAAAAATGGCTTCTTGCCTCAAGGTCCTTACATTTTTACCCAGGCTCTGAATAGCCAGTTTTGATATGCTCTGTTATTTTTCCTTCCTGCATTATGAAAACTTCCTTCCAACTAGCAAACTTTATTTTATCATATTTTGACTGATTGAGTTGAGATGGGTAGCCTGAGAAGTGTCCCTTGGGAGCAAGGAAGATTGAATAGACACTAATAAAAACCCAGATTTATATTCTAGAGATAGTATGACTTGTAGAGAGTGGGTTTCAGTCACCATCATTAAAATATTATCTTCAGACCATATTGGCACCAGATTTCAGTTCATAGTGGGATCTTTTCTAATACAGTGACAGCAACACAACCACATTTGTGCACATACCCACATACAGGCTCACCTGAGCTCATATTCCTTTTCAACTGTGGGTTTGGACTGGAATCCAGAGAAGGTCATAAACTAAGGAAGGGAAGACTGGGTAACTAAAGAGGCAGGTTGTGTATTTAGATTAGTTTGCAGAGAGGAACAGTTGGGTGGCAGGTGGAAGGTAGCAGGTAGAGTGGCTAAAAATGCACTTGAAGTACATAATTTGTTGGCTGTGTCTATAGTGATAATAAAAATGTCCCAAGCTAACTTTCTGATGTAAAGTTGGAGGTTTCCCAATATATATCAGTAGATCTTTCAGAATTGTGCTAGATTAGCTGCATTTGACTATCTTTTTTGACTGGAGGATCAAAATAGAATCAGAAGAGCAGAATGAATGAATGATAAAACATTTACTAAGTATCTATTGAGTTAGGTGGATAGGATAAAAGAACAAAAGTAAGACAGCCCCTACCTTGAAGTGGCTTATATTTGAACGTGGTTAGATACCACATATAAGGGAAAGCAGTTTTGATCAGGAGAATCATAGGGATAGTGAGTGATGGTTATAGTTATAGGAATGTAGTGAGTTTGATAATAGGACTTCTGAGGCAGCAGCCTGGCCACCAGGAAAATAAGCAGAAGTGGGTTAGTCAATCTATAATTCTATGGCCATGGACACTCAGGGCAAAGATTACTGGTTCTTTTTCATTGAATAATTTTACCATGGAGTGATCAAGAATTGGTGGACTGATCAATGATGTCAGAGGTTGGTGGTGTTATCAAGCTTGGGTGATCAGAAATTCATCTTTGATGTCATCCCTCATGAGGAATAATATATAGAGAAGAGAGGTTCTTAATATGCTTGATGGTGACATAAGAGTGATTCCACCAATGTGACTGCACAGTGGCCATGGCACCTCAAAGCTCTGGAGTACATTGGGAATCTGCCATCCAACTCTGATTGATGTTAAAGGCCAATCCGGGTTTGGCTCTAAAGCATATAACCATAGAATCATTGATTTAGAAGTGGAGGACCTGGGTTCAAACCTTCTCTGTCATTCTGTACTGGTGTATCATTCTCTACTTGGGCAAGTCACTTCACCCTCATGGACCTCAGCTGACTTCTATAAAATGAAGTGATTAGTCTGGGTGGCCACCAAGGTCCCTCATACCTCTAAAAATATAACTTAGAGGGAAAATCAGGAGAGAGAGAGAGAGAGAGAGAGAGAGAGAGAGAGAGAGAGAGAGAGAGAGAGAGAGAGAAGGAGGGAGAGGGAGAGAGAGAGACAGAAACAGAGAAGGGAAGGAAGGGAAAGAGGGTGGGAGAAGGGAAGGAAGTTGGAAAAAGGAAAGTATAAAAATGTATGTTTTAGAACTAAAAAGGACTTTAGTAGTCATATAGTTCAAACCTCTCATTTAAAGAACAGAAAATTGATGCCCAGAAAGGAATCTCATCCAAGCATGTGGAAAGGGGGAATGAGTTTGACATAGAAAAATCACTATCATATCAGTCTCCATCCAGAATACTCCATGTGTTTTAATCAATAGACAAATATTTATTAAGTAGTTCTATTTGCCAGGTGCTATATTAAGTGCTGGGGATAAAAGGAAAAACAAACAAACAAACAAACAAAACCAGAAACAGCCCCTACCATTAAGGAGCTTACATTCTAATATGGGAGGCCACATATATAGACCTTTGTATATACAAGATAAATACAGAGTAGATGGAAAGTAGCCTTATAGGAGAAATCACTAGCACTGAGGAGATGAGGAGAAGCCTCCTGCAGGAGATGGAACTTGAGCTGAATGTTCAAGGAAGCTAGAGACTGTCAGAGGTAGATGTTAGGAGGGAGACCACTACAGCCATGGGGAATGGTCACTTGCGAATGCCTGCCTTAATCACCTCGATATTACTGGGGTAAATAGGTGGGCCTCCATTTTAGAACTGGCCACTTCCTAACCAGTGAGCACTCAATCCAGTCTCCCGGTAATGCTGGATGCCACTCTAGGAGTCTAAGACAGGCCTAGGAACATCGCTCTCCACTTCCTGTTTCAAGTGTCTGGGCTTTCCACCGTTACCAAGGAAACACTCATCAAAGACCCTGAGACCAATGAGAGTGAGAATGTGTCTCTCTGTCTTACCAGGGCAGGATATCTGAATGTAATTGAGTTGGAGGAGAAGCTGATTTCAGAGTGGATTATATTCTAAATTGTATTCTTTTGTCATTTTTAAAAATCCTCCTTTCACAACAGCATAGGCCATTCATTATATGGTAGCTTAGAAAGCTTATCAACACTGAGAAGTTATCAGGAAAGGAATGAACAGCATTGACTGTAGTATCACATGTTTATCATTTAAGAAAAGGGAATATTTAAAAAAAAGAAGCAAAAAAAATCTGAGTGATTTCAGAATGAATCAAGGAGAGATGATTAGATTTCTCCACTAGTGGGGAGGGTAAATGAAGAGACTGGAGACACTGGATGAGGGTTTATGTGTGAGATGAGCTAGGCTTATTTCAGTTAAGTGTCTCATCCCATAACAGTAGGAAGGAAGAGAGGGGGAGATAACGGAGGGAGAGGGATGACAAATCAGAAATGGGAAATAGTATTCAAATTAAAGGCCATGTGGAGAAGAGAGAAGACAGAAGGAAGGGCAGATAGAGAAAAGACATTAAATCTTTAGAGGAAGAAAAAGGAATAGAAATGATCACTTCTATTAATAGCATAAATCACATGTGAAAAACACTGTATGCAGCAGATGAATGAAAGCAAATGAAGACCAGATCAAAGTCTTGTAAACTATCAGAAATAATATTTTTGATAATGAGTGAGGGGACCCTACAATTAAAAATAAACAATAATGAGGGATAAATCCTACAAGCTGGCTTCTATGATGTTTAAACCAATGAGATTAATTTAAAACCAGGGAACAAAAGGATGGATTAAAAAATAATTTTGCCAAAGGAAAGCCATTGGAAGAATTTAAGATTAAGTGGTATCAAGAGACTGTGCAGAATCAGCACTGACTCCCCAGGAAGAGAAAAAGAGTTGGTACTTTCCCCCTAAATGAAAGGGTGATGATGGACAGTGTGGAATCACATGATATTATCCTGAAAGTGCTGACTGGAAGAGAGAGTGAGCTCTAGATGGAGAATCAGAAGCCATGGATTTTATTTCTCACTACCACTAGCTTTGCCATATAAACCCAGATAAAATCCCAATCATCTCTGTGTTCCAACTAACCTTGGGCAGGGAAAACAATCATGAGACATCACTGTGCCCAGGAGACGACGTGTCTGAAGCACCACTCATGTTGGTTTTAGCTGAACTTGATCTAGTACTAGTCTTTGAGGTTTTTTCCCCAGCCCTTTGGGGATATTTTTGTGAAGGTTCTGGCTTTCTGTACTAGAGGATTTCCTTTGCTTTCCTTTTCTGCTCCTTTCCTCCACTTTACCTCTCTCCTTCCATACTTTTTCCTCTTTTTTCCTCTCTCCTTTCTTTTTTCTTTATTCCTTTTTTTTTTGACTACCC